TATGAGAAAAAGGCTAATTCTAAGAAAAAAGGCATATTTGGACAAAAAAAGTCAAATTCTGAGAAAAAGTCAAATTTGAGATGCATTGTGGGACATGTCGTTTATGGGCAACGTGCTTCTGTAAAGTAGCATGTAACCGTATAATAAACATATTATATTCTTTGCAAGCTCTTGTGGGGCCACATAAAATGAAGTCGCGGGCCGGATTTGGCCCCCGGGCCTTGAGTTTGACTACCCCTGGTGTAGTATGTCGAAAAGTGAAAAAAGTCATAGTATGTTGAAAAAGTCATAGTATAGTTACTATACTATGGAACTCAAATGGACAGGAAGCCAGTGGAGGGAAGCCAGAATAGGTGTGATGTGCTCATGCTTGCGTGTTCCTGTAAGCAGCCGAGCCGCAGCGTTTTGTACCAGATGCAGGCGTGCCAGCGAGGTCTGGTTCAGGCCGGCATAAAGTGCATTACAGTAATCTAGACGCGTAGAAACAAAGGCATGAGTTACACGCTCAAAGTCTAAAAAGGATCAAACCGGTTTAATTTTGGACAGGAGCCTCAGGTGATAAAAACTGGACTCAACCACAGAGTTTATCTGTTTATCCAATTTAAAAGCACTGTCGATTTTGACGCCCAGATTTGTAACCATGGGTTTTGCATACTGTTGCAGGGAACCCAGGTCAATGGAAGGGACATCACCATTTGGTGATCATATAATCATTTAAAATATATAGTCTTATACTCTGATTGCCTTTTACCTAATTAAATTGTATTTTTAGTCTTGTATGTGTTTAACAGAGACAGATGTTAATGGATTACATTTCAGGAGGGCAAGAGGAAGTAAAAGGTGGATTTGCAAATGGTTAAGGACGAGGGGGGTTTATGGTTTCATGGTGGGGATGTTTAGATGATGCCTAAGAGAATTTAAGGGTGGGAACAGTTGGATATTCTCTACTATATATTGTGACTGTAAGCTGTGTTCAGGGTGCAGAACTTCTCTATCCTCTGAGGGTGAAGTAGCTCTGTTCCTGCATTTGGGATCCATTTCACTTTATATTGACTTTCTTTATTACTTTATTAAATATAACAAAAAACAAACTTTGTCCATGAATCATTTATCAGTTTCTCTTAAGAATTTTCCTCCACAACGGCCCAAAGTCATTTTTTGGACTCTTCTGGAAGAAACTTCTTAGGCCTCAAGAGACACGTTAACATGTCCAGAATTCTTGTAATCTTTTCTATAAACTCTTATCATTTTTTGGAAAAGTGAAACTCCTGCTGAAACTGGTAACACACAACTCGAAACTCAGGATTATAACGCTTATAGAAACTCTCAAAATGTACTTGAAATATTGTACCGTGAGGGTGGCGACGGCTGAAATGATTCCTATCCTCAGTTTGATGGGAAAGCTCAGGTAACTCTTCAGGA